TCCGTGACTTGTACGGATGAAGGCCATTAAGGGACGTGGAGGAAGAGGAGATGGAGAGAGGGTAAATGTAGATAAAGGGAGGAGAATGACAAACCGCCTATCAAGTTAATCTTGAGAACACAGGGGATACGTCTGAGGATTAGGGATGTGGAGGAAGCTGCTGACTTGCCATTGTGTGCATAATCAATGATGACGAGGATGAGGAGATGAATCTTCACCAGGAAGACGCGGCATGGGTCAAAAAATGGTAGAAGGATGAAAACCTGTGAGGAAGATGATCTGTGGTCGATAAGAGTGAGAGTGATTTGATATTACAGTGCGGACGAAACAACGAATATGTGTGTCAATGATGCAAGTTAGAGGCAGGAACCACTTGTCGTAAAGAGCTTACCAGACAGCGAAGAGAGTAAATGATCGCTGCAGCAACAACAGCCTCTGGAGCATTCCAATTGCCATGAACCTGAGCTATGTCCACAGAACACAACATGCAACAAAAGAAAGCAACCTTCAGCAGTTGTACGTATGTAGGATTCTCCCTTTTTTTGCCTTCAAAACATTCCACTCTTGTGGGAATCTTCGTTTTTTCCCTTCCCTGCCCGCCACAAAAAGTAAAGTCAATGCCAGACAAGAAAAATATGCAAAACATGCACAAGCATAGAAATTTGCATCTGTTAAAGAGCCGCCGGACCCGATTTCCAGCAGGTGCTGCTCCCCACCCATACGTTGGGGCCAGCAGCTAGCGGTGGGGACTCTTATCACCACCACTAGCAGTCCCAACTGGTTTTTGAAAAAAAAGAAGAAAAAGAAGCCTAGGCCTGACCTCACCAACTAGGATTAGCAAATTCACACGAAATGAGAGACATTCATTCAACAGGCCTAGCTCAGTTGGTACACCCACAAACTGTTGAAATACAGGCCCAAGTTCGAATCCAGATACAATCAGATGACCAGAATAAATCATTGTGAATTACCTGGGGCCGTTCAGTTCAATCATGATATCCCAAGGTCGTCGCCTTTGGAAAAGAAAAAAAAAAAGAGAGACATTCATTCATAAATGAACACATGCATATGTGCACACATGGATTAGAGATGAGCCACCTTTAACTATCCTTGAAACGACTCCGAATCAACAAAACAAAAACACAAATATGAGACTTATGCTTACAAGCTACAAAATTGTGCTGTAAAGCCAGGTTGCAAAGCTTGTTCGGCCAGAATGGCCAGCCCAGATGGTCTGGCCAGACAGGTGGGGCCTCCCTTGATCAAGGTTTCTTAAAGAGATCCAAAAGCATGTCCTCCTGGGAATGTCCAGGGTTGGTATGGGCATGGCGGCATCGGGCATGCTAAGAGTCGTGGAAATATGATGGGGTAAATCAGCACCACCCCCGATGAGAAAAATGGGGCCATAGATGGGGAGAATGCCATGTCAAGTTTTAACCCAACATGCCGGTTGCTTGACTTTGCCCAGTGCAATCACATACTGCAGACAGCATAGAGTTGAATGTAATATGCTTGATTGGCAGTGAAGGCCGATCCCGGATGGCTGTAGATGAGAGGCATACCGGAGACGTCATGTCAATAAGAGTGACCATCCCCGTAGAGGAGAGAAAGCCTGAGAATGTGAGGCATACCAGAGATGTCATGTGAATCAGAGTGGTCATCCCCATCGAGGAGAAAAAGCCTGAGAACATACATCAAAGCTACATTGCAAGCATCTGACAGGATTGCACTAACACATTCCACCGTAACAATTCATGAGACTCCGGTGCAGTAACAATTCATGAGACTCCGGTGCAGCCCAACTAAACTCTACATCCTTGCTTGACCCTGAGGGCATACCTGCATCATTGCTATAGTGAATGCATCTGACGGCATTCTATTCACACATTCTACCACCATAATCCTAGTTTAAAAAAGTGTTGAAGAAGGGATAGAAACGGGTCACATACCTCAGGAGAAGTCCCACTGAAGTCAAACTCTGCTTCGCCTTTCTTGTCGATTGTAAGTTTCAAGCATATCCTTGCACCATCATCCATGAAATCTTCAGCCTCCAGCACAACCGCAGAGGTATTTGCTGTTTCCTTGCCATTGTTTACGCCTCCTGCTCCCTTTTCTGCTACGTTTTCTATTGACCCATCTTTTCCTCCTCTATCCTTCAAGACTTTTTCCACAATTCCTCGCAACATATCTCGTACCGCCTGTTCAGCATTCACCTGCAAGTAAAAAGCTTGTCAGAGATTGAATGCATGTTATGGCCTTTTTACGTGTGGTCCTGAAGTGCTTTTCGGACATAATGTCCACAACTTCCACACTTCACTCGGTTACAAGTATCTATAACCAACCTGACATACATCCCTTTCAGATCCATGGAAGCCTGACGGCCAAAAAAGTGTGAGTGCCTTACAGCTCGCTATGTGATCGTATGAGAATGGATCAAGATGCAAGCGAACAGATGTAGTTAGGATGAGAACTGACCTTAAACCACCAGTACATACCGGTTGTTCAGGCCCGGCCCTGAAGCGAACAACCCCGAACCTGCAGCGACCGGTACTCTGAGGAGTGCCAAGCCTCAAGAGACCAGTCTGCAGTACAGGCCTCGTCCCACTACAATTCAAAATGAAAAACTCAGGAAAAAAGAGAAGGAAAATCAAAATCGATTCTTCTTCTTTGAAAAACAAAAACAAAAGCCAAACTCGCCGAGAACAATGGGACTTCATAATTATGAAAAAGAAAACAGAAAAGGAAAAAAAAGAAATAGAACACGAACCGAGAGCTCTCCGCGCGGGCGGGGTGGGGTGGGGTGTGTGTGTGTGTGTGGGGGAGAGAGAGAGAGAGAGAGAGAGAGAGAGAGAGAGAGAGAGAGAGAGAGAGAGAGAG